GGCCCCGGGCCCGGTCCGCTAATCTGCCTAACGTCGGGGCCGGCTGTCTGCACAGCTCAGTCCTGGCCCTTCCAGCCCCGTAATCCTCCCGCTGGGCGAGTGGCTGTGCTCCCTGCCTCCCTCCCCCGCCCCTCTGCCATCGTTCCTGGGGGGCTGAGTGGGCTCTGTGTGTGTGGGGACACGCCGCTCCGGCCTTAAAAACCCGAGGAAATAAGCAGCTGTGTGAGTAGAGAAGGTGCTTCGAGGGGTCCCTCCTCACACCGGGCCTGCCCGAGAGCCAGGCTCCCGCTTCGGCCTTTGCTGACAAGCGTCCCTCGCGGGGCCTCGGCCCTTTCACCTTCAGTTAAGAAATGAGGCGGGTGCAGCTTCACAGGGTAAAAAAAGAGATTTCTACCTTCTTTTCTCCTGTGAATCCGTCTGTGTGAAGTCTGTAAGCCGTGTGCTGAACTGCTTTGCTAAATAAGGAGGGACTCGTCTGTGTGCTCAGATAATTGGGGCAGTGGGGGGGCGGCGGTAGTGCACAAATGCAAGCAAGAGAAAACGGGCACATTTTCTGCCTGTTCTGACTTTTTCTGTACCCTTTCACTTAATGCAGAATATCCACTGGAAACAATGACCCTTCTACCGGGAGCCTAAGCTTCAGCTCTGCGTCTCTTAAAGTAATTCTGTGGAAACTCAGAATAATGTAAATAAAAGCAGAATCAGAGCTGGGGGAAAAAAAAAAAAAAAAGACTTTCAAGTTGGGATAAATACACTTTTTCAATTTCCTTGTCTTTTAAGTACTCCAGTCCTAGCTCATTTCCTAACAGGGATGTACTGTAGCGCTCGCTGCATATCAAGGTGCCGCGATTAGATCACTGATCACCCCCAGACCAGGGAAAGAGACAGATAACACACACAGTGTGAGCGCCAACTTCCGCCTTTTATTGCGCAGTTAATTCCTTTTATACTAACAAGGGTAGGCGGGATTACAGACACATCATAAGGCTGCGACTAACCCTCTAACTTTCCGTGACATCGCGAGATCTTCCGAATGCCGAACTCTACAATGTACGTTTTCAGCAAGGTCACGAATGAATCTATCTTTAGAAATTATTTTTGTAATTCTGAGGGTTACAGGTGATACCGAAAAAGCCTGTCAAAGAAACTCTCTACGAGCCAATTTTGGAGTTCTAGAAAGCAGGCATTCTTTATTGCAGCATTCTTTATTGCAGCGCTGGGTGCACAGGGGATCGCTCCACCTATCATGCACACTGTCAGGCCCAGTTGTGCAGGTTAAGTATGTGTTCTACATACATATTCACTAGATTTCTGAGAAATGTTATACATATTCATTAGTTCTCTGGGAAACTATTAGCATATGCAAATGTCCTTTACGCAGGCGCATTGAAGGTCTCTGGTGGTCTTCAGGAGTCCTCTGGTGGTCTTCCATAGTCTTCCTCACTTGTTTGCTACTTGAACCTCCTCAGGTGATTCTGTGCAGTATGGTCCTTTACATGTTTTGGAACATCTTATTCTTAAAGAATGCTTGTTAGTCCCTAAAAATACTTGTTAGTGCTTTTATTATCTAAGTTTTCATTAGTGAACAAAGGCAGGAGTTCTCATCTTTTCTGGCCCTATCTATCAAGCAAGGCCTCTGCTTGTGCCTTCTTAGCAAGATCGTAAATTCATCAAGCATTTAATTAAGCTTTGTGATTGCTCATGACTCCCTCTCGCTCTTTCTCGTGTTCTTGATCTTTCAACTTTTACTATATCACAGGTGCCTCTGGGGCAGCACAGCTGCACGAATATCACCCTCTTGCACAGTCCCCCGTTGTTGTGAAGGTGCAAAAGCCGATTGACTCCAGCTGTACGTGCAGGTGTCGGGATGTTTGCTTTTAAAAAAGCTGCAGAAGAGTCCTGAGTGTTCCTTCGCACCGCCTCACCCCAGTGCTCGACATGTGGATGGTGTGTTGATGCCACTGCTTCCAAAACGCTGGAGAGCTGGAGGGAAAATGCTGCCTGGTGTGCTTGCCTTCCTCCCCTTTGGGGGAAGCTGGGGTGGTGCGTGCAGCAGTGTGCAACGTGCATTGTGCCACATCATGCAATGTGCAGCAGCGTGCAGCAGCGAACAACATTGTGCAACGTGCAGCATTGTGCAACATCGTGTAATATGCAGCACCCTGCATCGTGCAACATGCAGCAGTGTGTAACATTGCACAATGTGCGTCGTGTAGCAGCAATGTGTAACATGCAGCACTGTGCATTGTGCCATCTCACCTAATGTGCAGCGACATGCAACATTGTGCATCGTGCAACATTGTGCATCGTGTAATGTGCAGCATCGTTTAACGTGCAACATTGTGCAACGTGCATCGTGTAATGTGCAGCAACCTGTAACATGCAGCAACGCGCATTGTGCAACATCGTGCAACGGGTAGCATGCAGCAACGTGCATCGTGCAACATCGTGCATCGTGCCACATTGTGCGTCTTGTGACGTGCAGCAGCGTGCATCGTGCAACATCGTGCAGCAACGTGCAACATCGTGCGAGGCGCCGCCGTGCATCACGCACCCGGAATCACGCATCCTGCAGCACTGCCCCGTGCACCCTGCAACGCCGCGCCGTGATGCACACGCCCCGCCCCCGTGCACGCGCCCGCCGCCGCCGCCCTCCCCCCTCGTGCACGCGCCCGCCGGTGCAGGAGGAGGAGGAGGAGGAGGAGGAGGCCGAAGGAGGCCGCCGCGATGGACAGCACGGGCAAGGAGCGGGAGGCCGTGCAGCTGATGGCGGAGGCCGAGAAGCGGGTGAAGGGCTCCCACTCCTTCCTGCGGGGGCTCTTCGGGTGAGCGGGGCTGGCGGGGGGGAAGTGCAAAGCGGGGTGCCCGGATTGTGAGGGGCTTGGGGGTGCGCCGTGTGCGGAGGGAAGGGTTGCAAAGGCGGGGGGGGGGAGTGGGTGGCGGTGTGCGTGGGTGCC